AAATACGTTTTTAATTTTTAAAGTTGTACTGAAAAAATGAATTCAGCTCTAATGAGAATTTTGAAGTGTATCCTATGGTCTTGGCACGCAAACGGCGAAGTTTCTTTATACATGTACCATATACCTCTCACCTAGTGCTCTTAACTTCCTCAGTGTAGTTGAATCTCAATGAACTTTTTTTTCCTAAATAAAACTCTTGCCAGATGGAAAGAAATATTTGTTGACGGTCTCAGAACAAATGACCAAATGGACAAAGTTATAGTGTCTGGTGCTTTCTGCTTGTCATCATCGTTTTATGAGATAAAAAAGCTTATATGAAATTATGCAGGACTATAAAACAAGAAAGATTGACAGTCTATATAAATAAGAACGGCACTGAGCCACTCAAAACACCGGCTTTCATTCTGTGGAAAAGATTGCCTTTTTTCTTAATGACTATAACAAACGTTTTAGAGAATTTTTAATCACGAAAAACTGATCAAATTGCGTGTGATTCTTTTTTTTTTTTTTTTTTTTTTTTTTTTTTTTTGGCAAATTAAACTTTTTCTTTTCTTGCGCGGACAAACTAACGGGTCCGACGTTTGAAGAAAACGGTATTTAATAATTCTGCTTTGATAGCAAAAAAGAAATAAGTGCGTAACATAAACACAGATATAAAAGAAAGTGCAGATAGTTTTTTGCTGTTGGCAAACCCTTTTATAATTTAAATCGGGGAAAAAAGCCATTCTGTCCTTCGACGTGATATTCATGATACTTTTCAACAATGTTACTATGTAATCCTCGGTAGTATAGTGGTGAGTATCCCCGCCTGTCACGCGGGAGACCGGGGTTCGATTCCCCGCCGGGGAGAGGATTAYCTTTTTTAGTTTGAAAAGCTTTACTTGTATGATTACTCACAGTAACTAGTACTAGGCTATAAGTTATAACCTACTAATAGCGAATAGTGCCGGATTTGAAAAAAAAAGAAAAAATTATTTCAATTGAAGACTTTTTTGCATGTAAATTTTTGACCAATTAGTTGGATTTAACTAAAGACGCTGAAATACGAGACACAAAAACGTCCAACTTGTCGCGCAACATTGTTGCGGTGCAAGTTCGAAAACAATGTTGCTCGTTTTACATCCTATCTATCCAATTTGTCACGCAACAAAATGTAATGTTGCAAGTTGGGACTATCACGGTGATACTCTGCATGCTGATTGGCTACAAGCTACATAATTCAAGATGGCGGCCGCTTCTGTACATAAAATGTTGCGTGACCAGTTGGACGGGTGATGAAAAACGAGCAACGAATCGCAAATTTGTTGCAGAAAGTTGATCTACGTTCTACTTTTTACAACAAGTTTTCCCAACTTGCAGCAAAAGATTCCCCGCCGGGGAGAGGATTACATTTTCACTTAATTTTTTCTGTTGTGAAGTGTGATTCTGTCGTGAAGTGTGATACTCTTTATGGCAAAAAAGAAATAAGTGCGTAACATAAACACAGATATAAACGAAAGCGCAGATAGTTTTTTGCTGTTGGCAAACCCTAATATAACTTCAATCGGAAAAAAGACATTCYGTCCTTCGACGTGATATTGATGATACTTTTCGTCGGTATTATCATGTAATCCTCGGTAGTATAGTGGTGAGTATCCCCGCCTGTCACGCGGGAGACCGGGGTTCGATTCCCCGCCGGGGAGAGGATTACCTKKTTGTTTTTGTTTGAAAAGCTTTACTTGTATGATTACTCACAGTAATTAGTACTAGGCTATAAGTTATAACCTACTAGTAGTGAAAAGTGCCTGCTTGAAAGCCAAAAAATTACATTCAACTTTAACTTCAAGACTTTTTTGCATGTAAATATTTGACCTATCGATAAACAATTCGACCATCTGCCACATCTATTGCCTCATAGACTAATCGCTAAGTATCACGCTAGTGTGACATTATAAGAAAAGTTGATTTATCGGAAAAAGGAGTTTACTATCAAATTTGTCCCATCCATATAARTAGTCCATAAGATCGTCCAGCCTGATAACGGATTGATAACGCAGGCGATGCAGATATGTTTCTTTGCAATAATGTTTGTTTGGAAAAAAAAAAAAATCTTTGTCAGTGCAACCTTTTCGAAAATTCAAGGGCAATCTTTTCGAAACTTTGCAATTTTACAATTATCGATGTGACTTATCAAGAACACTAGTGATTCTGACCGTCTTTGCCATGACAACCCCACCAGAGAACATGTCGCTCATTCATCGCTACATTGCCTCTTCCCGCGCTTTGTTTACGTATACGCGGTTCACACATTTTACAAGTTATAGCCAAAACGTCATGATCTCAAAAAAACTACGCGTTTTAATCGTAATCTTACCTTTAATATCATGTCTGAACGCGAAAGCCTCAAAGATACTATCAAATATCTTTAAAGCATTAATTTTTTCTATTATTATTTAACTTGCATGCCAACCGAATCAAATTGACAAAAGTACTTTCAGTTATAGCTCTAGCCCCAGAAAAAAAAAAGAAAAGAAAAAAAGACTACGCACTCCCTCAATGAACTGACGTACGAATTTACGGCTGGTTTTCATTCATTCCTAGGGTAGTGAAATAATAAAAGACACGGCGGCCATGTTGGATGATATAGCAAAAGAATCCATTGACAATTCTTTTGTCAAATTCATCCAAGATGGCGACTATGACGTCGTAAGCAAACGAAGAATTGCAAAGTAGAAGGTGTGTTCTTACCTCGAATTCTGCGACATGAAGGTACATTTCTAGTCTTGTTGGATCGACTCCATCAGGTAAGGGTTTTTTCTGTAGTTCGCTGAGTGAGTATGTATCTCTAGATAATCTGGCCAATTCTTCCTCGAGCTTCAACAACACGGGTTTATCCTTTCGTGCCTGAAAGAAAGATAAACAAAAACATGAAAAGAAAATGAAAATAGAAATGAAAAAATAACCTGTGAAGGCGTGGCAAAAAAAAATGCAAAGCGACATGGTGAGATTACACGGAGCAATTTTCTCTGCAACTTTTCTTGCAACAGCGACAAAAGTTGCAAGAGGTCTTACACAGTGTAACGGAGACGCAATCGTTGCCAAAAGTAGAAACAAATTCTACTTTTTGCAACGATTACTGCAACTTGTCTCGCAATATATATTTATTTATTTAAATTGCGCTATAGGTTAAACGCTGTAATGCTCCATGCAACTTTTGTCACAACGCCGTTGCAAGAAAAGCTGCAGCGTCATGATTGGATAAGAGTAGTACAACCGACAGAAATCCATTGCTATGTTACAGATAAGTTTGAATATAAAAATTGTGGAGCCAGGGTAGAGGTAGCCGGATGTGACGCAGGCTAGGGTAGAGGTTATGGCTCTCAAATGGCTTTCTTTCTCAACCAATCATAACGGCAATAGCTCGCACTGTCCAATCACACCACACTTTTTGATACTTACTTCCACATTGATATCCCTGACATCATCGCGTTCTTCCCAGTATGGAAATAAAGCTTTAAACGACTTGGGTTCGAGTCCAGCGAAAATAATGTATGTTTTGGATAAATTCCTGTTGAGTTCTGAAGTGGAAAAAATAACCAGTTATGAACGAAGTGTTTTAAGATAAAATTCAGCCATAAAACTTTTCTAAAAAAACATAATATTACACGACGTTTCGACGTCAACTGAACGTCGTTATCAAGTGATAAAAAACTAAGAAAACGTTATATAAACTTATATACATGAATAATAATGAGTTTAAAAAGGTGTGAAAACGAAAAACTATGTAATTTAAATACTGTATATTGTATATTGAACGAARCGAATCCAAGAACAAAGTATACAGCTATTAAACGGACACCCTTTATCAAACGGGCAGCTGTGGGGGCTCCAAATACAGTGAAACAAACCTTTATTTGGCCCCTTATTAAGCGGACACCCTTTATTAAACGGCTATCTGTACGGGTACAAGACATCCCCCCCCCAAATTACTACAATGAAACTAACCTCTCGCTTTTCCCGAGGTTGCGCGGAAACTGGTAACTAGTAAGACGCGTGCTGTAATGTTTTCAATTTTGGTTTTCGCTCTGTTTTTCAAGAAAGTTTGCCGAGCTTTCCGCTGTATGGTATTCCCGAAAGTGTCCGCCCTTTATTAGAAGTACCATACACTTTACTAAATACTATTTGCCGTATCCGTCATCTCTCTACCCTTAGAGGTCTTAGAGGGGAAGCACTAGTACGAGAGACGCTCAGGAACATTAAACCGAGAGGTGTAGTGTTGTCTGTATTTTCTCAAGAGTTTTCCTTACCTTGCGCGTATGATTTAATGGTTTCCATTGCTAAGCGACGGTCATTACTAAAGCGTGTTTGCGCTGAACCTGTAGTGGTTGCCTGCATTTCATTTTCTTCTTCGTCACGTGGCCACCACCCCTGCCACATGTACAACTCATGATGAGCGTCTATGAGGAAAATAGCTGGAGGAAAAAAGCAAACAAAAGTACTAATTAAAAAAAGCACGCAAACGAAATCCCAGTATGAATCAGTTCCCAGGCAGTGAACCAGGCAGAGATGCATTATGGTATAGCTTGGGTATGAGAATCATTCGTGTACACCACGTACTTGTACCCAAACTAGACCAGAATACACCTTGTCTGTATGAGTTACGCAGTGTTCCATAGTACCTGGTTGAGATGCACTGTAAAGTTGTGATTGGCGGATTGGATAAGGTGTCGTCACAGACGACGAACGCGATGGATTCAGAAGTTCTGTGGCCACGAACTGACCGCTGGAGCTATTCAGACTAAAAACTCGTAGAGTGAAGTCGTATTTACGAGAATCTGGAAAATATATAATTCATAAATTATRATTAATAAATGCAATAGATTAAAAGCTATATAGCCAATGGAATTTTCGCCACGCGCCAACCATGTTGAGTGGTACAATAGATTTTTCCCCCGTTAGCCTCGGACTCAAAACAAAAATCTTTAAAAACAAACAACCTAAATTGAAGTAGAAGAAAAATACGATCATATATTTTGCGCACCTTCCTTGAGTGATACATGTGACTGATCTCCCCGTAACGCGTCCCAAAATAAATCTGGCTCATCTCCTTCCTCGAATTCTTGTACTTCTAAAGCATCATCAGGGAATTTGTCATTAAACCTAAACAGGAAAAAATATCAAATTACTTTTGTTCCTGAAAATTAGACATCAATTTTACCCTCTCCCTCCCCCCGCCGGGGAAATTCAATCCATTTGTACTCAGTGGACGAATCATTTAGAAGGCTACAATGGGAAGACCTGCATTCTACCCACTTTTCTTCCTGTCACAAAATGCTTCGAAAAATAAGGGGTATAAAGAAATTCAACTAAGTCTGAAGGGTCCTACTTATTCACTTTCTCTCTGGAGGTCAAGAAGAAATAAATTTCTAGCAGCATATACCACCGTATCTCCCAAGAAAACCCACCACTCCCTTAAAAATTAAGTCTAGGAAACGTGAGAGATATTCCTACTCGAGAACTCGAGCGCGTGACAAACATAAACTTTAATTCCTAGCAAGGTAGCATTCCCCTTGACAAACTCGTGCCTTTTGCTTGCGCGCAATACTTTTTTCTGGCGTGACTGGCGTGACTCTAAAACCAATTCCTAAAATATACCCATACTGCTTAGGATTACTTTACTAACCACTTCATGAGCTGTTTTCCCGCGTTTTTTCCAATGTTTCTAATCTCTTTGCTTGATTTTGCTCCGTGCCAGACGTACAGTATTAGTTCTATAAGATCTACTACAACGAATGAGGTGCGCGACCGTAATGCGTATGGACTGAAACAAAACCATTAAATACATTAGTTAATACCCAATTAGGCTAGAGGTAAAGTCATTAATTATTGGTATGAAAACACCAATTCCCTCCCGGAACATAAACACGGTGCAACGATGTGTGTCTTTTTAGAGACTTATAGATGCAACGACGAGTACGAGTTTTTATTATTTTCACTTATATTTTAAATTTTTTTAAGGACCTCCCTGGAAATCATTTTTATGAGTGGAGTATCCTCATTAAATATTATTATTATTTTTTTTTTTTTTTTTTAATATTATTTTAGCTCTTAAAGATTGAAACGAAACGAAAACCCGATTACTTCACTTTACTGTATTTCAAAGAAGGCTTTGATGTCTTACTCTGTTTTGACTTGAAGTAGGTACACTTCGTCTGGATCTTCGTTACGTACAATAAACATACACGTGTCCTCCTCGTCATCTGTTCACGATAAATATATAAAGAACATTACTTAGACTATGACGCAGGAAGAGATAATGGCAAAATGAACGCAAATTTCGAAAACAAAGACTGCAGTAACACGGTACGGGCGTTAGAACTCCGACGGACGGGGTTACCAAGGGCATGTGGACTTTTAAGCGTGGCATCCATGTTTATTCCCATAATAGCAATATTACATGAAAAATGTACTCGAATTTGATTGGCTGAGAGCAGTGCGGTTAACCAATAACACAGCAGAAAAAGTAATTTGCACTAAAAGTAAAGTCATAGTCATGAGAGGGATCCATTTAGCTCTTTGTAATATCTTTTAGTTGCATTTTACTTCAACGCCCCCAACTTCAAAATTGACGATCGTTTCTCATTGGTTTGAATTTCTGCAAACTAGGAGTAAAAATAAAGTAACAGACATCTTGATTTTACCTTCGTCTTCCGGTGGTTCCCGCCTGGAATGTACAAAAAAATTGAAAAATAAGTCCGAAAAGCATTTTTACAGAATGTTTTCTATTTGTCCTTCTGACTGGTGTGCGGTATCTTCTACTCGAGCCGGTCACACCAGGATTTATCATTCATGCAAATGCATAATTGCGTTTTGCGCAATTATTTTCAATGCAAAAAAAAAAAAAAAACATTTTTAACGTTCTTCTGTTCAGTATGCGTTGAAACCATGACTATTCTACCCTCCCGTTCCCCGCACAATCTCACTTACTTTCCTTGATGTACCACCATCTTGCCACCAAACAACCGAGGAAAACATGGCGGTTCTTTTCCTTGCGCTACGAGAACCTGAAACATTCGAATGTAGCAACACATGGTCAGCTAAAGTATAGATTCAGATGAGTTGAGGAAGGGGGAACAACTGAATTATTTTTATGCATGATATTGGTCGATATATTCTTATTCCAGAGAGAGAATCGTTCTGTGACGACCCTAAGAACGTCTTGGTAGTAGGCTTTATTAAAAAAAAACTTGTCATTGCTAATCATCAACGCAAAGTACAGCAGTGGCGCAGCTCAACGGGCTCGAAGTGAAAGCGTGTGAAGGCGCCTCTTGCAGCCGCCATACAGTTYGAATTATAAAGGGTTCATTTGAGAGGAGGGAGAAAAAAACAGGACTGGAAAAACTCTCGAAGTCAGAAAAAGAACCAATCAACTCTACTCACACCAACAGCTCTCTGAAAAATATCTTACCTGGGGTCCTCTGTCTGAGTCCAGTTCTACGGTCATTAGGGCAGCAGCACCCTTCTCATTGATCGTAGAGTCTTGTCCTTGCCAGAAGAAGTAGACTATCTTGTCTCTGCCTACATCTTCTATCCTAGATGTCTTGCCTTTTAGTGACTTGACACCTGTACGCTTAACACAGTATTTCCATCGAACGATATATCCTGGAGTTTCAAAATAAAAACAAAATAAAAATCTTAGTCTCAATTGGGTTTCCTGTGGTACGAAAAGGAAGAGAGGGACTTGGTTCGTGTCCGCGCCTAGTAATTTGTAAGTTTTTATTAAGTTCTGTCCTGATGACAACAGGATACCATCAAATAAAAAACTAGGTGTGCATAATGCTGATAAATAACATCTTGGCTATTCTAACATCGTACTCAGATCCTACTCATTAGCAAAATCTGAGTATGGTCTGGGTACAAGAACGAGAATGCATGCAAATGACTTTTGATGTTAAGTATTCAAAGTGGCCGTTTGCATGATGGCGTCATTTACTATACCACTACTTGTATCCCTTGAACACCTTTTGTTCGGTTAAATAACACCATTTATCTAACTATTCTCATGAGGCAATGAAAATTTGAATAAGAAAGAAAATACGTAAAGCATTTTGGTAGTGGTAGTAAAATGACGCCATCAGGCAAACGGCCTATTTCAAAATAATAACTGATATTCCCTGATAATTATTACCTTCACAAGAATGGAAGTGACCATAATCCTCTTCGGGCATAGCATTGTAGCCATATTCCTTGACATGCCACACTTTAACATCAACAGTGGTGACGGAAAACCGTCTTCCTTCTTCGTCAATACTTCCAATTCCTCTACCTATATCAAAATCTACCGACAGAAAGAAAAACCAATGACGATTAATACAGAATTATCCATAAAGTATTGATTTTCCGCATTTTCCTTACTTACTTTCAAGAACAAGGCTTGGTTCTGGAGGAAGTTCTATCATCATGTTTACATCGACTGTTTTGAGGCTAAAAATACCATTTTCTTGCTTGTCCTGTGTTAAATACAGAGGTAAGAGATAGATAAGGTATTGGTGGCTTTTGCATCTCTTCGCATGAGAAAAAGAGGACAAAAGATGTGGCCGCCATTGTAGTTTACATGACAACAGATATAATACCAAGACTACGACTACATCTATTGTCAAAGCCAACCAAAATGGCGGCTATGACGTCACATGCACAAAAATAATTAGAGTTTTAGGAGCTTGTCGGTGTTAGCTTTGTAGCTTTTCTGGTGACTCTAAATTTATTGGAACGTGTAAAAAAAAAAAGAATAAAAAACCAAAATATGTATATAGGCGTTATTGTAACAAACTGATGAACATGATGATGTCGCGTTCTGATTGGTTTGGAGCGCGTGCTTTATGAAAGCACATTTCACGCGCGCGCACTTTCCGTTGCGTCATTCCTAACTAAAATACCGGTTATTGTATTTTGTATTTTATGAAAGAAATAAAAAACTTGCTTGCTGTACTGTGTGCCGTTATAAAGCACTTGGGAATTTGCAGAATACGAGAGAAGTGTTAGGAGAAGCACGACCGTAGCGGAAAACCCCCACGTGCTTTATGACTGCACACAGGACGGGCGCGAGTTTTCTATTTCTTCACTAAAAAGCAATGGTGATGATGGATAATGATTATAATGAGGACACTGGTGGTAACGATAGAGATGAGGAATGCTAACGGATGTTGATAATGGTCGTCTGATGAGTGAAAAGATAGTCAATATAGTTGGGGGGGAGGGGGGAGGGGTATGTCGAAAAAAAGACTGAATGAACAAAATGAGTGATGCCAAAATTGGTTGGAGCAGATTTCGCGCTAAAATGGGTCATACGACACATGATAACGTTCATTTCCAGGAATATTGTTTCGTTATTCAATCAAATAACACACACGACACCGCTGCTCATCCAATCAGAGCAGGACTTTATCACGTCATGCACGTTACTGTGACTTCATAGGAATACGAAATCTGCTCATGAAAGTCTGTAAAGTTATGAAAGGAAGCGAGGTATGCATGCATGTACGTATGACTGCATGAATGATGTACGTACGTATGAGATAGCATCACCAGTGCCTGTTTCTTGATTTTCTTCTTGGAGAGTTGACTTAAAGTACAAAGATGCAGTTAGCACGCATATTTAAGTTAGTAAAGAGACGATACAAAACATGCACACCTGACTGACACAGATAGTCAGCTAATGGTCAGCGGTCAGCATGATAAAATCGAGGTCTCTTCCCTTATATGCACAAAAAATGGCACTTTTCATGCGACAGAGGTGTATTTTGCAATAGGACGTTTGCATGATGGCGTCATTTCACTTCCACTACCAAGATGCTTTGCGAATTTTCTTTCTTATTTAAATTTGTATTCCCTCATGAGAATAGTAAGACAATTGGTACTAATTAACTGAACAAAAGAAAGTGTGCAAGGGAGTCTGGTAGTACAGGTCAATGAATCCACCGTGCAAACGTCCTATTGCTTCATTACTTAATTAAAACAAAGTAAAAATTGATGACCTTAAGATTAATGACGTCAGTTTTGCAATGGCTGCTTATATATGTACAAAATTCAGCGGTGAAATCTGTTCGAAATTTTAGGACATCTCATGCAATATCCGTAGTAAATTTGTTTCTACTAAAATGACGTGTCGACTGATAAAATGATTAGGTATAAGATACCAACCTTTTTGTTCAAGACAGCAAAGCTACCGCTGACCGGTTTCTTGACAAAGTCCTTGGTGTAATCAACGTTGTGATCAGGCCAATCAATGAACTTCTCTCTAAACAACACAGTCTCTGAACGCGCCGTCATTCTGCCGAGTAAAGCCCATTTAGGCCGTGATATCTCATGACTCTGCTCCTTGTCCGAGAGGGACGAAGGATGGAACGGATTTAGTCGACTCTGAGAAAATCATAACATTCAAAGTCAGTCTCATTCTATCACAGGGAGCCCAATTTGGATAAAACTGCTAAACTGAAATAAAACCTACCCTTCTATATATATGAGAACTTATGTGAAGTTTTAAAAATAGCGTTCGATCACACGTTACGAAAAAGCGTGTGTCCGTAGCTTCCTACCCTCAAGCCCAAAGGCTCGTCACGCAATGCATCACTTCCACGTTGCGTGACGACCCATAGCGTTTTTTGGCTAGGTACCCGTACCTTATATTTAAATTTTCCATCGTAGATTTCTTGAGCAAGTTTCATTCCTTTTAGTCGAGCTGATCGGTTGCAATTTCGTCCAAGCCAAAGATAAACCTCAGGACCAAAATCCAATACGTATGCCTTATGGAGTAAAAGACAGTGTTAGTCTAGTCCTTTCACAGTTCCCTGCGCCATCTTGAAAAGTAGCCGTGGACTTGAAGCGAGACGAAAGGTGGGTTTACAATGATAGAGTCCTTTTTTAACACCTTGAACAATCATGGTCTTAGTGTTTATGGAGCATCACCTCCGGAGCTTACCACCGTACAAAACTTTTTAGATCGCTGTTACAAACGAAATTATACAACATACCATTATGATATCCAGGATCTTTTAAATAAATTTGACACAAGGCTATATAAGAAATCGGTTAGTAGTGACCATCCTTTGCATAGCATAGTGCCTAAAATACAAACGTCCAAATATAATTTAAGGAAATCATATTTTATTAGACCTAKAGTTAATTCTCAACGTTTTAAAAACTCATTTGTAAATAGAATAATCTTTAGTAATTAGTATCTTTTAATCAGTTTTTAGTTTTATGATTGTAATCACGTTAATGATATGTATTTTATCATTTCTTTAATAAAGACATTATTATTATTATTATTATTATTATTATTATTATTATCATTTAAATGTCTCTATCATTGCAAGCTCACCGTTCGTCTCGATACGAGGCAAAAGCACGGCTACCTTTCAAGATGGCCCAGGGAACTGTGAAGGGGACCATTAGCTAATTCAGCTTGGGCGTAGTGTTTCACGATTTTAGGCCCCTTGTGATTTCCTTCAGCGCTATATATTTATTTTTTTGTTTGAAGGTAACGCGCAAAAAGATATGCTAATATGGACAATGGTGTTGGAAACCGAGAAACTGGTGCGTCGCCAAATCCTAAAAGAAGGACTAAGGGTAGTAGGCGCGAGATCCCTTACACTCTCATTTAAAACGGAAGTTCACAACGAAAGAAAACGGAAGTCCACAAGGAAAGGAAACAAAGCCTCGTGCACTTGGTTTTACAAAGCAAAGGAAACCAAGACCAAATCCTTAGTTTATAGTCAATCAACATGGTGGTCATAAACGTCAAACGCGACCCTATTACGTCAGAGTCAGAGTATTACTCACGTGATCTGGGTCCATGAATTTTTCACTAAGTACCCTTCCGGATAAATCATCTCTGAACTTGAGTTCCGGGGGGTCTCGGCTATAATCAATCCTATATACTAGGTTTGTTGCCTGGATATTCTTTTCGTATTCTTCGTCCGTTGGAACTTGTCGAGCACCTACGAATGAAGATATTATAATTGATGAATAAGTTACTGACTGCAGTTCTATGAATAGGTATAGATATTTCCAAGAAGAATGTTAGAGAACTTAAAAGTTCGTTGGAAAATTGGAATGGACGTTGGAAAATCGATCATTCCAAGATCCAAGGATAGCTGGAATGACTGGCGTTTCTCATTATTATTCTCGTCAAGAACATAGAGGTTCATCTTGAGACATCTGGTGTTGTTTGCGGGAAGCCATTGCTTCAATTGACTTACTGGCTATTTTACTTTTCCCGCCCAAAAGTTTCCAGAATGACGTCGATCCGGCCTCCTCCTTTCCTTCTTCTATCATGTGGGATGTTTTGGTATTAGTACCCAGGTCTCTTTGTTTGACGATGATCGTGGATACTTCAGCAGCCTGGGACCAAACCAAAAGAGCGGAGAGTTAAATTAAATACCAAAGACCTGGTCGCCATGTTGGATGACATAGAAAAATGAAACAAGACTAAATATAAATCCAGCATGGCGGCYATGATGTCCCGTGCATTCCAAAAATAATTAACTTTGAACTTCACATTTTTACAAAATCGTTCTTACTATTTCTACATAATTTACCTTGGCTTTCTTCATGATATTCGCTCCTTTACCTAACCACACGTAGACATTCTTTTCGGTTACCAACACGAACGCGTCACCTGAGTTAAGAGACTTCGCAGAGGGTTCTACCAATCTCGTTTGCAAGTGTCTGTGGCCTGTGAAAAAAAACCCACTATAATTCCTTTCACAGTTCCCTGCGCCATCTTATCAAGGTAGCCGTTCCTTTGCATCGAAGTGAGACGAACGGTGAGCTCGCAATGATTGAGACCTTTTTGACGGATTGAAAAAATAAATTCACGTCTCTGTTATTGCAAGCTCGCCGTTCGTCTTGCTTCAATGCCAAGGCAAGGTGGCCTTTCAGGCCTTTCAAGATGGCGCAGGGAATTGTGAAGCACCTTTGATTATATCCATATTGAATGGACGCAATAGCAATTATTCTTACAAATAAACTCTAAACTATCTCATCGAGATAACTTAAAACCACCTTGTGATTAAATGGTTCTGTCCACTACATTGTATATTCTGTTTATGGGTTTCCTGTGGATTCTGCCTCCTTCCAGCGTAATTTGTATAGAACTAGTAAAGCTGCTATCGTCCAAAACTAAACATAGCAAGAGACTGAATAATATCTATGTACCTTTAATCTGTAGCAGCATGACAGGGAGAAAGCCACCAAATTCCTTGAGTTCAGTGCTGATCCCTTCAACATTCTTGGCGGTTTTTCTAAGAGCAGTACTGGCTTCTTTAAGGTTTTCTTTCTTCGACAACCCTTCAAGTGCTTCGGCTGCAAACTTTGACTCATTTCCTACAGGATAAAAAAGATTTAAAAAAGAAAATACTTCATAAAACAAAGAATACTGACTAAATAACCAGTAAATGCAGCGTAACTTACGTTTCTTGGACACATAAGTACGAATAGGTTTCTCTAGTTCATCAGCTTCTTTCACGTGATTCCGCTCGGCCTTCGATACGAGGAACTGGACAAAAGGGGAAAAAAAGATTTATTATCAACCAAAGAAAATTGAGCATGATCATTGTGAAGTACCACTGTGCTCTTTGACAGCAAGTAGGCAGTATGCCTTGTTTCATTGTCAAAATATACGTGGAAACAAAAGTGAAGAACACTCAAATATATATAGACATATTGAAATGCCTCCCGAACATTCAAATGAAAAATTCTGCAAAAATTCTAATTTAAGCTAGCCTTCTGAATAGGCTTCTTTAGCGTCGTCACGTTGCGTTTTTCTCATCGGATCTGCGTAGATGGCTAATAAAGGTTAACCTCAGTAACAGGAAAACTGGAAAGCAAAATATACCCCATTCCCTAAAGCAATTCTCAAGAGAAGGAATTMTCTCACCATCCCTCCCTTCGCCCGCACCCCACCCCCACCAGGATGAAGATTTAGTGCGTTAAAGAATATAATATAGTTACTTAGAATCTTACATCAGTCTCTGTTCTCAAGTCTTCTCTTTTCTGCCTGGCTTTGATTGGGTTACTCGTGGGTGCGTGTTTACGCGAGGGACGAAGCTTACGACGATGATCAGCGAAAGCTTTCAAACTTAAATAAACAAAAATAAAAATTAATATTTGAACTTTTTCCCCTCGACCACAATTTTAAAAATTAATAATGAAGCCCTTGTTACGAGCGTTGATTCATTCAACTTGTCTCGTGGAAAAAAAAATTGCGCGTGGCAAGAAACTACCCTTATTACACGCGCGAGTTCCATTGCAACCACTCTCGCACACTCATTTTTCTGCGCATGCTCAATGAAATGCTAGATCACCTCTAAAGCAATCTCGTACCCAGAGCCTGCGTTTCTTTCGGCCTGCGGCGAAGAACGAGGGCTCTGGCATAATCCATTTTTGGCTCATGCGCAGTTTTTCGGAAGTGAAACAATCAATGAAAAATAGCTTTCATAACTGCTTTCAAACAGAGTTCTGTGTTTACTTCCGTTCAAAATAAGAATTAAAAATCGGGAACATTTTTTTTTTCTTTTTTTTTGGCAAGTCTTTAAACGTATACGCTCTTATACCGGAAGTCCAAGAACTGATCTTGGTCTCAAAAAATGGATTATGCCAGATCCCTCGTTCTTCGCCGCAGGCCAGAAGAAACGCAGGCTCTGGGTACGAGATTGACCTATAAAGCTGAGCGTGGAGCATGCGCAGTAAATATGACAGGGCTCTGGGTTAATAAATGGTGGTTCCATTTCTCCAATAAGAAAATGGGGAAGAAAAGTATATGACCGTATGCCACACGCTCGTACAACCTACTACAATGCCTTTAACGAGACAAGCTGCAAGAGAAATTGTCACATTTAACAGCGCTTTTACAAGACATTGTCATAGTAGTACCGCTGACCAGGAGTTTGCGCCTGTTTGTAAAAACATTCCAGATTCTGCTGCTTGTGCTTGAGCTCCATTATGTTCGTCTGTTTGTGCTGTGTATATTTATAGTCGTCATATTCTCGTGTCACTCATTGAGAAAACAGTCATTGAGTCCAAAACTTGTTTTCTAACTAGTCTATCTAATCTAGCAACCTTTACATCAGACTACATTACATGCCTTCCTGTACGGGAAGGATTTCGGTGACCCCGRTTGAACCAACCAGGAAAGCTTGCCTCAAATGCGAATCACCTTCAATGACTTCAATCCTATCCTATCAATCTTAATTTAATGGACTAAATTTGTACATTAAGTTATGACCTTTGAACACTATGCTTTTGTATACCGAGCGAAGAAAGCATTCCAATAAAGTGTGCAGACACTACATCTTTGAGGGAAAATGTTTTCTTTGAATGGTGCTACTTAGCGTTTATTAGTCAGTAGTTCTTCATAGGTTTGTCTGGAAACTAATCAAGAGCTGAACTGTGCTTCGCATCGTGAGCAGCGCTGCGAGTATCAATTTAAAAACACCAAAAACCATTAGAATTTCTAGGTCATTCATGAAGTCAGCCATTCCTAAACGATTTCAGARATTTCTCCTCGCAAAGAACAAGTCGGTGGTTATCAAGTAACTTGATAAGGTGGAATTTAAATCTTTACAACCCGGACTGCTCCGCTATTCATGAAATAGCGTAGATTTTAATCAAATTTAATATCGATGTTGTGAGTTTTGGAGATTCGTTTAATAACGTCCTTTTTTCACGAAGGTAGCACTTAATAGCCAGTGGATAACAAACCTGTGGCCCTCATTCCATGATCGAATTGGAATTTAGGAGTTGATTTTTGCGGAGGGAGGAAAACCGGAGAACCCGGAAAACACTCGAAGCACAGGAGWGAACCAACAAACAACCCTACTCATATACAACACCGAACCCGGCGGGAATCGGGTCGCATTGATGAGAGGCGAGCGCTCACACCGCTACGCCACACGTGCTTCCCTTGTTTTTAGGATATAGCTGTTGAAGTCTCTAATAAGAATCTTATCAATGGTGCAAGTAATAAGCTCTTCAGTAAAGGGTGTTATTCATATTCTGCGACCCAGCCAGTTCCAGGCGCGGTAAATTAACTCGACTGATTTACGAGGGTTTGAATTTTTACATAAACGGCCCAAAAGCCCGATAAAAGTTGCAAAAATCGCAAGTAAATATATATATATAGTCAATTCAAAAAATGTCGTCGAGCAACTCAAGCCTACGCGACTAGACCGAAAGGAACTATGGGTAGTAATCATTGAAGCCGAGTTGACTGCATAATTTTATCTGACTAGTTATGCCTGGTTTACAGCACGAACGTTCGTAGGCGAGCGGGAAGTGTTGAAGGAGACGTTTTTTAAATGCCTTCATATT